TACCTCATTTAGAATGGTAAGGACATGTTTGCAGTTTTTATTTAGTTTACTTTTTGTTATGCCTTTTACAAAATCATAAACTTTCGTGTCGATATGTGGATTTCAACTGAAAGAGAGGAGACTTTACATTCTACTTATAGGATAATGTTCCTGTTACTGTTTGGAATTTGACAATTTTGAGAACTTGCTATAGGTATACTGAGTTTCAGATCACTTGGTTACCCTGATGGTCAGTATATTCAGCCCTCTCTATCTGCATGTTTTACATGTATAGATTCAACCAACTATGAATTGAAAATTTCTGGAAAAGATGTGACTATCAGAGCACAATCTTATTTCTTACCATTATTTAAATATTATGACAATTTATATGATTCACGCTGTAATAGTATAATAAGTATTTAGAATGTGTGTTATTTATTTGGGAGGATGTGTGTAGGTTATACAATTATATAAGGGACTTGAAGATCTGGATTTTGGCATCTTCAGGATGACTGCTTGTCCTAGGAATGGCCAGTTCAGGGCAGCGTGGCCCTGGGGTTCACCAGAGCCACTGAAAGGAAAGGTTGGAAGAACTACAGTTCTGACACTTTTTCATCAGGTACGTCTGTGAGATGGCCACTTTTCTGTTGTACGTTTTGCTTCTTGAGACAGGTTTTTATGCAGCCCATATTGACCTTAGACTTGCTATGTAGCTGAACCAGCCTTGTTCCGGCACCCCTCAAACACTGAAATTGCAGGCACGTGCCTCCACATCCAGTCTTTAGTTCTCACTAAGTGGAAAGATTGCTTAAACCCAGGAGTTGAAGACCAGCCTTTGCAATATTGTGACATATTGTCTCAGACAATTTTTTTTTAAAAAAAAAAAGCCCAATAGAACATTCACATTAAAAATTTTTGTTTGGTAGACATGGTTTTGATTACCCTTAATCTCAGTACTCTAGAGGAGAAGGTGGATCTCTGAGTTCAAAATCATCCAGGGCTACATATACCCGAGAAGGGAAAAATGTTTATTTAAAAGACATTATTACGGTACATGTGTACAGTATATGCACTGGGTGTGTGTGTGTGGTGGGGGTTGCACAGACCACACTAGGTGTGTGAAGGCCTGAGGACAGATTGTGGGATCAGTTCTCTTCCTTCCCTATACATGGATCCTGGTGGGCAGACTAGGCTTTCAACTTCTGTTAAATCATTTCACTTACCCCGTTAAATAGTTTCTCTCTCTTGTCCCCCTTTCCCTCTTCCCAGGGACTCTCTAGGTAGCCTTGACTTGCCTGGAACTTGACTTGCCTGGAACTTGCCATACAGATTAGGTTGGCATTGAACTTGAGATCCTTTGCCTCTTCTGTGCTGGGAAGTAAAAGTGTGCTGCCACTCCTGGCTTCTATCGTTTTAAAAAGAACACTTTTTATTTATTTTTTGATAATTTTACACATGTATGCAATCTTGATCATACCCACCCTATCTCCTCTCTCACTCTTCCCCTGATTCCCTCAACACATCTCCTTCCCACCTTCACTATTTCTGCTCCACCTCTGCCCCTCCTCCCTTTCCTCCTCCTGCTGACCTGTTGACCTGGCGAGCTCGATCTTGTGCAGGTAACCCTGGCTGCTGTGAGTTCATGAGTGCGGCTGGCACGCCATGTCCAGAAGACAACATTTCACAGCATCTTCATTTTCCCCCTTTTATTTATGTGTATGAGTGTTTTGCTTGCATGCATGTGTGTGTAACCCATTCATGCCTGCTGGACACAGAAGCCAGAAGAGTGTTAGATCCCTTTGAACTACAGGTGAGATGTGAACTGCCATGTGTGTGCTGGGCACCAAACCCAGATCTTCTGTAAGAGCATCAGTGTTCTTAAGCCCTGAGCCATTTCTTTAGCCCTCTTATTTTTATTTATTTTTAATTAGTACTTTTTTTTTTGGAGTGGGCAGGCCTGTAATCCCAGCTCTTAGGGAGACTGGATGGACTATATGTCAAGACAGTGTCTCCCCACTTTCCCAAGCCCCCCAAAAGACAGCTCATTTACCTCATTTATAATTTGTCTTTTTTATTATCACTAGTTTATAAGAGTATCTTCCAGGTTTATTTTTTTTTGCCATTTAAAGATCTTTTATTGATATACATCACAGGGGCTATCTCCTGGTAACCTTTTTTAAATCCCCAGGTTGAATTACGACAATCCCTTTGGGTCCCTGTGAGTGTTTTCCAGACTAGGTGGCCCAGGTAATCTGTCCTTGGCCTTCAGCACACACACAAAAAAGTGCTTGGGGGAAGTGAGCTGTTTATTTAGATACAGCTGTGCTTGAACGGAGAGTGGGAGGCCTCCTTGATGCTTGCTGGCTGCTTCAACACCCTCAAGACTCAGATTGGCCATCTGCTGCTGCTGGTTCCTAGTGTAGCTGCCAGGGCTCTTCAAAGTCATCGTTGTGACAGATGTCAAGGTACACGTCAAAGGCCTCTCTGTTGCAGTTTCCACCAGGAGTGAAGATGCATTTGTGGAAGGTCCCGTCTATGCAGATAGCAGTCACCGAGTTGACATTCTTGGAAGTGTTTGGACCAAAGGTGCAGACGCATTTTCACTCAACAGGCACAGTAAAGCTGGCCAGGCCCCACTGAGAATCCACGTACAGCCCAACCAGAGACGCAACCTTGCCCACATGAGCCAACACAAAGCGGTGAAGATATGGACAGGGCCCTTGTCACGGGAAGCAGAGAAGAAGGAGTCGTGGCTGAAGTTAAAGCAGTCCCTGGCAGGGTCAGTGCCTCTTCGAAGCTCCACCAGTTTCTCTTTGGAATAGGTGTCAAAAAGACGAATAAGGATACCCTCCTGGGAGGACGAGACCACCACAGTGCCTGGCTGGTTCGGGGACACACAGGCTACATCACTCTGATGTGCACTAATGGCGAATGGAACGGATGAAGTGCTTCCACACTTGTGCCCAGGAAACACAAGTGGTTGTTCTCCAGGCTTGGGCAGAGGTCACACAGCCCCTTGGGGTTGTCCCGAGTGTCAAACTCAAACAGCTTTTCGAGGATTGTCCGGGAAGGAGTACACATTGATGCAATTCCTCAGCAGGACACAATCTTGTCATGGCGCATGCGCACAGCCAGCACTGACTTGGGAAAGGTGAACTCCAGCACCAGTTTGTCCTTGGAGTCCTTGCCTTCTCGGGAATCGGGAATCGTCCCAGATCAGCACTGAGATCTCTGAGAAGTTGGGACTGCTGCCACTGCCCACGGGGGCCAGCAGGTTGGATCGGTGCACAGCATCTCTACCAGGCCCACGCTGCCTATCTACTCGTGGTCCAGATGCCCCTTTTCCATCAGTGGCTCCACATTATAGATACGGATGCCTGTCTCCATGGCACAGCAAAAGCAGCTTTGGTCTTGGTTGAAATGTAGGCTGGCCACACCTCGAAGTGGCTGCTGAGTCATGGTCCAGAACTGCCGCCCCGTGGGTCGTGTTCCAACTGCACATCACTTTTGCTGACTGGATCTTCACCCCTCCCCGACCCTTGCCCTAGCTGTGGGCATGAAGTTCTGACCTCCCTAATATTTTTTATATGTGTTTTTAGGTATAGATGCTCTGTCCACATGTATGCCTGCATGCCAGAAGAGGGTATCAAATTCTATTATAGAAGGTTGTGAGCCACTATGTGGTTGCTGGGCATTGAATTCAGGACCTCTAAAGAGCAGCCAGTGCTCTTGACCACTGAGCCATCTTTTCAGGACAGAGTATCTTCTAGCTTTATAGCTTATAAATTTCTAAAATCCTTAAATTTCAGCAAAATCTTCCACCAAATGTGTTCTACATACAAATGAGCTTCTGATTTTAGGTGTTTCCATTTTTGTTTTTCTAGTGCAGTGGCTGTTAGGCAACCTTTGAAGTAATGATGTTTGTGGTTTGAGGAAGAATGGCTCCCAAAAGCTCTTGCATTTGAATGCTTTGTGTTCAAGGAGTAGCACTATTTGAGAAGGATTGGAAGGATTAGGAGGTGTGACTTTGTTGTTGCAGTAAGTGTGTCCTTATTTGAGGATGTGTGTCACTCAGAATGGGTTTAAAGGTTTTCAAAAGCTCATACCAGGCCATGTTTCTCTCTCGGCCTGCGGATCAGAATGTAGCTCTCATCTACTGTTTCCTCCCTTGCCTGCTTGCTGCCATGTTCCCTGCCACGATGGTAATGCACTAAATCTCTGAAACTGTAAGCAAGTCCCAGTTAAATGCTTCTCTTATAAGAGTTGTCTTGGTCATGTGTCTCTTCACAGCAATGGAACAGTGAATGGGACAACACCCACTCACTAGTCTGTTTCTGTTCTTGCTGAAGTGACATATTATAAATTATGTTTTGTTTAAACTGTTATCACAATTAAGATAAGCAAGATATGAACAACAGAAAGTCTAGATGGATGAAGTCTGGGGAAGAGCCTGCCCAAGGTGTTAGGTAGAAGAGTCAAAGACTACCGTGGTCTAAAGGGGAGGTAGAAAGCGGTGAACATCATGGGGAACGTTAATGTCATTTGAGACACTACAACTGGAAAAGTTAGTTTAGATTCCAGCTCTACAACTTAAATAACCTAGGGAAGCAGGAAGAACTTGCTGGAGGCAATTGACCCATATATGAAAAAGCCACTGAATTTCATAAAGAAGTAAACCCACATTGCTAGCAACTATATCCCCCCTCACACTTAACCCAGGTTAAATGTATCTCTAGTTCAACCTCCTCTTTATCAGATCTCAACTATGTCTGTAGCTGTCCAATTGTTACTTAAGGGATAGCACCCCAGAAGATGTGGAAGACGGCCACAGAAACCAGATTCTTGAAGCGTACGTGTTCCTAATGTTTGCTAAATTGCCTTTGAATGCAGGAAGCCTAGCAGCCCTGCGAGTTTCTGCTTTTGCCTTTCGTGACTCAACTCTAGTGGACAAGCGTAGAGGAAAGATGAGACACAGATAGGCTAGACCTAGGTCTGTGCCTGAGGTTGGGGAGGACCCAACCTTGGTCAACGTTGGTCAGGGTTTTGAATCTAGGCAATGGGTGGAGGCCAGATGCAGCTTCTAAAGGGAGGTAGGGGTTGTGGTAAGCAGAATATGCTGATCTACAGTAACAAAGAAACAATAAGGACTTCTTCGCCCTACAGACCAGCACTCATAGTAATAGACTTGATCACAATTTAGCCAAGATATTCCCTGCTCCAATTCTTTATTTAGACCTATTCAGGTCAGTCCCTTGAAAACGGACTAAAACACTTCATTTTCTCAAAATGGTCATTTTAACTAAAAGTCTTTTTCATCATACTTTTGTTTGCTTTGTTTATGGGGATTGTTATATGACAGAACTTGGGGAAACATAACATACATGTCTACTCACCCCAGACAGGGATCCTATAACAGGACCACCTAAGCCAAACTTGGTGAACCAGTGAGTTTTAGTGGGGTTACCCCAGCATGGGTGGGTGACAGCTAGAGCACACTGTACAGCCTGCAGGCATCTCAACTGTCTGGAGAGTGTCCTTCGGAGTGAATCTTGTGTGAGCCACTTCCTCAGCAAGGCTCCATCCTCTCCTCCCCTCTCCTCCCCTCTCCTCTCCTCCCCTCTCCTCCCCTCCCCTCCCCTCCCCTCCCCTCCCCTCCCCTCCCCTCTCCTCTCCTCTCCTCTCCTCTCCTCTCCTCTCCTCTCCTCTCCTCCCCTCCCCTCCCCTCCCC